ACAAGAAAATTAAACAATCTGCTACTGAATGACTTTTGAGTTAATGAAACAGAGGCAGAAATTTTTAAATTCTTTGAAATTAATACGAACAAAGACACAACATACAATGGTCTCTGGTACACAGCCAAACTGGTACTAAGAAGGAAGATTATAGTACTAAATACCCACATTGAAAAGTTAGAAAGATCTCAAATTAACAAGAAAAATCAAGAGAAAACCAACCCCAAAGCTAGCAGAAGGCAAGAAATAACCATACTCAGAGCTAAACTGAAGGAAATTGTGACAGGAAAAAATTGTTATTCTAATTTCAGACAAAACAAACTTTAACCAACAATAAAGGGCCCTACGTAATGGTAAAGGATCCAATTCAACTAGAAGACCTAACCGTCCTAAGCATATATGCATCTAACACAGGAACACCCAGCTCTATAAAGCAAGTTCTAGAGACCTACAAAGAAACTTAAATAACCACACAACAATAGTGGGGTACGTCAACAAAAAACAAACAAAAGATCACCAAATCTAGAAGGTGATTATTTGAAAGAATACATGAGATAGGTAGACCACTCGGTAGACTAATAAACAAAAACAAGAAAAAAGATCCAAATAAACACAATAAAAAATGATGAAGGGGACTTTACCACTGAGAGCTGGGCAGATGTCAAGACTACCACCTACACAGAGGAGCTACTTACTCCAGGGTCTTCTGTCTGCTGAGAGCCGAACACTCTCGGGACACCCTGCCTGCAGAGAGAATCTACCCAATGCAAGTATCCTCTCAGCTGTTTGGTGGCTCAATAAAGCTTCTCTTCACCTTGTTCACCCTCCAGTAGTCCATGTACTTCGTTCTTCCTGGATGCAGGGCAAGAACTCAGGACCTGCCAAATGGTGGGGCTTAAGGAACTGTAACACAAAAAGGGCTGAAACATGCACCTTGCTCACCACATTTCAGGTGACAAAAAGGAGAGAAGAAATAAGGAGAGAAAAGCTGTGGCTTCTGGGGAGCCCAGACCTGAGTCTTCTGATCCAGGGGTGTGACACCCTTTTTGGGCTCTGCAGTTCCTGGCATCTCCAAGCTTCCAGGTATCACTGCATTCCCTGGTGCCAGCCGTGGAACCTGCTTGGGGTACAACTGCTCCAACTGCAGCTTCACAGGGAGCCAGTGCCAGGGCCAGTGCCTGGAGCTGCCCACTTCACTGCAGCCAGCATGCCTGGCTGTGCACAATGGCTGAACCCCACACTCACTTGCTCACACAACCCTTGCCCCCCTGCTCACCATTGGCAGGCACAGGATCCAGACCAGTAGCATGAACTGAGTGCAGCCTGTCAGACCAAGTGGGCAGAACAATGTCAGCAGGCCCAAGCAAAACTTGGCTAAAGGTGCCACTGGCCATAGATGTTTCCAGCCAGAAAAGCAATACCCCAAGGATCCCGTGACAGTATGTCGAAGACTCAAGCTGGACCCCTTCCTTACACCATATACAAAAATTAACTAAAGATGGATTGAAAACTTAAATGCCAAACTTAAAACTATAAAAATCCTGGAAGATAATCTAGGAAATACCATTCTGGACACAAGACCTGGAAAAATTTTCATGATGAAGATGCCAAAAGCAATTACAACAAAAACAGGAACTGAAAAATGGTTCTAATTTAACTAAAGAGCTTCTGCACAGCAAAAGAAATTGTCAACAGAGTAAACAGACAACCTACAAATGGGAGAAAGTATTTCCAAACTATAAATCCAACAAAATTTTAATACCCAGAATCTATAAGAAACATAAATTATCAAGCAAAAAACAACTCCACAGAAAAGTGAGCAAAGGACACAAACAGACATTTTTTAAAAGAAGACATACAGGTGACCAATAAGCATATGAAAAAATTGTCAACATCACTAATTATTTGAGAAATGCAAATCAAAGTTACAATGAGATACCATCTCACATTGGTCAGAATGACTATTATTAAGGTAAAAAAAAATAACATATACTGGCAAGGTTGTGAAAAAAAGGGAATGTTTATACACTGCTGGTGGAAATGTAAGTCAGTTCAGCCATTATGGAATGCAGTTGGGTGATTTCTCAAAGAATTTACAGCAGAATTACAATTCAACCCAGCTACTCCATTATTAAGTATGTACCCAAAGAAATATAAATCATTTTATCATAAAGACACATGCATGTGTATGTTTACTGCAGCACTATTCACAATAGCAAAGACATAGAATCAGCCCAAATGCTCATCAATGGTAACTGGATAAATAAAATATTATATGTACATATACAGCATGGAATACTATGCAGCCATAAGAAAGAATGATGTCATGTTCTTTGCAGCAGCATTATTCTAAGTGAACTGGAGGCCATTATTCTAAGTGAACAGAAAACCAAATACTGATTGTTCCCACTTGAAAGTGGGAACTACACATTGAGTACATATGGACATAAAGAAGAAAACTACAGACTACAGAGCCTACTTGAGGGTGGAGTGTGGGAAGATGGTGAAGATCAAACACTATCTATTGAATATAAAATAATCTGTGCGCCAAACCCCTAAGATGTGCAATTTACCTATATAAAAAACCTGCACATGTACCCCTGAACCTAAAAGTTGAAAAAAGCAGACATTTTTTTTCAAGAAGACATAAAAATCACCAACAGAGATAATAAAAAGTGTTCAACTCACCAATCATGAGATAAATACAAATCAAAATCACAACAGTTAGAATGGCTGTGACTGAACAGACAAAAAATAATATATATTGGCAAGGATACAGAGGAAAGAGAGCTTTTATAGTGCTGCTGGCAGGAATGTAAGTTAGTAGAATCCCTATGGAAAATAGTATAAAGATTTCTCAAAGAACTAAAAATACAACTAGCATGAGATCCAAACGTTCCCTCTATGGGTTACCTATCCAAAGGATAAGAAATATTTATATCAAATGATGCCTGCACTTGCATGTTTGTTGCAGCACCATTCACAGTAGCAAAGGTATGTAATCAACCTAAGTGTACACTAGTGGATAATTGGATAGGGAAAATGTGGTAAATGTAGACACCGTGTAATAGTATTCAGCCATAAAAATTAAATCAAGTCTTTTGCAGCAATATGGTTGGAACTTGAAGCCACTGTTTTAAGTGGAACAGGTCAGACACAAAGAGCAATAGTTCATAGCCCCATTTATAAGTAGCAGCTAAATAATGTGGGTACATGGATGTAGCATGGAATGATAGACAATGGTGTCTCAGTTGAAATGACACCAATAGACTGACAAATTTCTGAAAATATTCATTGAGGTAGATAAGGGGAGATGAAAGAGAGGAGGAGGAAGAGAAGGAAAAAGGAGGAAAGGAATTCATACACACATTAATGGAAGGAAAGGCAGGAAATAGCTATAAACGCTATAGAGATTTAAAAGAGCAAGAGAACATTATGAATATCCTTATGCCAAAAAATTTAAAAATTTTGGTAATATGGAAAAATTTCTAGAAGAAAATATTAAATAACAAAACTAACACAAGGAGAAAAAGGAAATCTGAATATACCTGTAGCATTGAAGGAAACTGAATTGGTAATTATAAATATTCTTAAAAATAAAGTACCAGGGACCACAAGTTAATTTGAAATAAGAATTTAACTTAAGTAAGGAATAATTTGGGTTGGCCTGTAATACCAGCACTATGGGAGGTCGAGGCAGGTGGATCACATGAGGCCAAGAGTTTGAGACCAGCCTGGCCAAGAAACCCTGTCTACGAAAAATATAAAAGTCAGCCAGCATGGTGGCACATAGTTGTAGTCCCAGCTACTCAGGAGGCTAAAACAGATAATCACCTGAACCCAGGAGGTAGAGGTTGCAATGAGAAGAGATAGTGCCACTGTACTCTAGCCTGGGTGACAAAGGGAGACCCTATCTCAATAAATAAATAAGTAGGGGATTATTAAAAAAAAAAAAAGAATAAAATTACCAGTTAAAATTGTGGTTGAGATTTCTCTGATAACATGTAAGTAGAAGATAAGTATTGTACATTGAAGAAAACTTCCCCAAAACAAAGATTCTAAGTAAAAAACATAAATACTGTGAAGGCAAAAACAAAAAAAAAGAGGAGAGAGAGCCAGTCTCTCCTTAGAGTAGCTATTGCATCAATGACAACAAATGCAGTGTGTAATAAACCTTAATAACATGAGCAGCAACCTCATTAAGTAAGGGAAATAGGAAGGAGAAGACAGATGAGCAGGTGGAGGCCTGGGAAGAAAAGCGGGAAAAGAAATTACAGCAGGAGAAATAGCAGCAAAAAGAGGGAAGCAACAGTAGACATTAACCTAAATGTAAGAACATAGAATGTCTAAAGAAATTTGATTTACAAAGAAAAGCATTAAAAGCAGCCCAACAAGTGTGTGATTTTTTTTTCATATTAAAACATGGGAAATTCCAACAATACTAAGGAAGTCAAATTATTACCTACCTAGCTTTAAGATTCTCTGTTGCCCAAAATTTCAGCAGGCAATTCACTGAGTTTGAGAATGTGATTTATTTGTTTTTTATGTTACTAACTTATATGATCCATACTGTTTTAAGAGTACTGCTTTCCAATAGAAACTATTTTGATGCTTATTAGAACACTATTATTTTCACATTGATGTTCATCAGGGATATTGGATTGAAATTTTCTTTTCTTGTTGTGTCTCTGCCAGGTTTTGTTACCAGGATAATGCTGGCCTCATAAAATGAGTTAGAGAGGATTCCTTCTTATTCCATTGTTTGGAAGAGTTTCAGAAGAAATGATACCAGCTCTTCTTTGTACTTCTGGTAGAATTCAGCTGTGAAACCATCTGGTCCTGGACTTGTTTTGTTTGGTAGGCTATTAATTGCTGTCTCAACTTTAGACCTTGTTATTGGTCTATTCAGGGATTTGACTTCTTCCTGATTTAGTCTTGGCAGAGTGTATGTGTCTAGGAATTTATCCATTTCTTCTAGATTTGCTAGTTAATTTGTGTAGAGGTGTTTATTTTATTCTCTGATGGTAGTTTGTATTTCTATGGGATCGAGGTGATATCACCTTTATCATTTTTTATTGCATCTATTTGATTCTTCTCTCTTTTTTATTAGTCTGGGTAGTGGGCTATCTATTTTGTTGATCTTTTCAAAAAATCGGCTCCTGGATTCATTGATTTTTTGACGGGTTTTTTGTGTCTGTAGCTCCTTCAGTTCTGCTCTGATCTCAGTTATTTCTTGTCTTCTGCTAGCTTTTGAATTTGTTTGCTTTTGCTTCTCTAGTTCATTTAATTGTCACATTATGGTGCCGATTTTAGATCACGCTTTCTCCTGTGGGCATTTAGTGCTATAAATTTCCTTCTACACACTGCTTTAAATGTGTCCCAGAGATTCTGGTGTGTTGTGTCTTCATTCTCATTGGTTTCAAAGAACAGCTTTATTTCTGCCTTCATTTTGTTATTTAGTAGTCACTTTGGAGCAGGTTGTTCAGTTTCCATGTAGTTGTGCATTTTTGAGTGAGTTTCTTAATCCTGAGTTCTAATTTGATTAAACTGTGGTCTGAGAGACCGTTTGTTATTTCCATTCTTTTGCATTTGCTGAAGAGTGTTTTACTTCCAATTACATTGTCAATTTTAGAATAGGTGTGATATGGTGCTGAAAAGAATGTATGTTCTGTGGATTTGTGGTGGAGAGTTCTGCAGACGTCAATTATGTCTGCATGGTCCATAGCTGAGTTCAAGTCCTGAATATCCTTGTTAATTTTCTGTTAAATTTCTGTTAATTTCGTTGATCTAATATTGACAGTGGGTGTTAAAGTCTCCTGCTATTACTGTGTGGGAGCCTTAAGTCTGTTTGCAGGTCTCTAAGAACTTGCTTTATGGATCTGGGTGCTTCTACATTGGATGCATACATATTTAGGATAGTTAGCTTTTCTTGTTTCATTGACTCCTTTACCATTATATGATGCCCTTGTTGCTTTCGATCTTTGTTGGTTTAAAGTCTGTTTAATTAGAGACTAGGATTGCAACCCCTGCTTTTTTTTTTTTTTTTTTTGTTTTCCTTTTTTTTTGGTAAGTATTCCTCGATACCTTTATTTTGAACCTATGTGTGTCTTTGCATGTAAAATGGGTCTCCTGAATACAGCACACCAATGGTTCTTGACTTTTCATGTAATTTCCCAGTGTGTCTTTTAGACCATTTATATTTAAGTTTAATATTGTTATGTGTGAATTCGATCCTGCCATGATGATGCTAGCTATTTTGCCTGTTAATTGATGCAGTTTCTTCCTAGCATCGATGGTCTTTACAAGTTGTATGTTTTTTAAGTGGCTGGTACCAGTTTTTCTTTTCACATTTTTTGCTTCCTTCAGGAGCTCTTGTAAGGCAGGGCTGGTGGTGACAAAATCTCTACATTTGCTTGTTCATAAAGGATATTATTTTTCCTTTGCTTATGAAGCTTAGTTTGGCTAGATATGAAGTTCTGGTTTGAACATTCTTTTCTTTAATAATGTTGAATATTGGCCCCACTCTCTCCTGGCTTTTAGGCTTTCTGCCAAGAGACCTGCTGTTAGTCTCATGGGCTTCCCTTTGTGGGTAACCCGACCTTTCTCTCTGGCTGCCCTTAGCATTTTTTCCTTCATTTCAATCTTGATGAATCTGGCGATTATGTGTCTTGGGGTTGCTCTTCTCAAGGAGTATCTTTGTGGTGTTCTCTGTTTTTCCTGAATTTGAATGTTGGCCTGTTTTGCTAGGTTGGTAAAGTTCTCCCGAATAATATCCTGAAGAGTGTTTTCCAACTTGGAAGCTGTGCTGCTTTAGTACCTGAGGTATGGAATAACCAATACACTTTGGACTTTTTCTAAACATCCCACTTCTACAAATGTAACATAAGATCATCTTGGCACTACTGACAACACATTTACACTATTCACACAAATGAAGCCTGAAATAAATCAAGCATTCCTGTATCTTGTTCTTTCCCATATTAAACTAAGATACGTTTTTCTGAATTTGTATTAAGCTCTGAACATGGTATTTCATATTTGATTCTCTTATAGTTCATTTTATTTTGTGTCAGACAACATTCTGTTCTGAAAATTATTCTGTAATCAAATAGTATGTATTTTTCCAAGGAGAATTTTAAAATAATATTTCAACCTAGCACAATACGAAATGCACATTATGCAAATTTAAGAATATAATAACAAGGCCAGGCACGATGGCTCACACCTGAAATCCCAGCACTTTGGGAGGCCAAGGTGGGTGGAGCACCTGAGGTCACAAATTTGAGACCAGCCTAGCCAACATGGTGAAACTCCATCTCTACTAAATACCAAAAATTTGCCAGGTGTGGTGGTGCATGCCTGTAATCCCAGCTACTTGGGAGGCTAAGGCAGGAGAATCACTTGGAACCCAGGAGGTGGAGGTTGCAGTGAGCTGAGATTGCACCATTACACTCCAGCCTGAGTGACAGAGTGAGACTCCACCTCAAAAAAAAAAAAAAAGTAATAACATTTAAAGAGCCATTCAGAAAGACTCTCACACCATAAATAGTGTTATCAAAAAGAAAGAATTAGAAACTAAGGTAAGCTCCTTTCTAGTTAAGCAGTGTTGCATGTATCTTCTGGGTCACATATTGAATAGAGAGAAGAAGAGTTCACTCCAGAGGATAAATGCACAAGTAAAAGGCCCCAGGTCATACACTCACATTTACCCAAGGATTTAATGAGAAATTAGCAATGAAAGGAAATTGTCTATTTCTTTAAAACTAAATATGTCAAAGGGTCTTTCTATGCCAATTGTTCCTGATAATATTAAAATAATAAGCATACATGTAGAGTCATGTATGATACAAATGTAAAATTTTATTATTATATTATGGAGTGCCTGCTCTTAATTACTAAAAGTTTATAACTGAATATGAAGTAAAGAAGCCTCGATAATATCTTAACCTTGTTACATTACTGGAATGAATCTACTTTTGGCATAAAACAAATCATCTTTTCTAGTGATAAACTACATAATTTTTATTAACAGAGGCAAATTAACAAAACAGCATTTTATTTTTATTTTACAAAATTCACTAGCATCTTTGTGCCCATACTAATTCATAGGTGGCTTTTTAGCCTGTTGACATCACTAAATAAATTAATTAATGCATGTAAATAAATAAACAATCTCAATTTTATGCAACTTTTCTTAAATCTTTCAACAAGTAGTTTTTCTTTAGTATCTACTGTATGCCCACCCATCCATGTTTACGGCACTTAAGCAATTTAGAAAACAAGTGGATCCCTTGTATTAAATTATTTACAACCATCCACAAGTCAGTTGCTGAATATATTTCTGAAGCCAACCTAACCAACTAGTGGATTCTGCTGAGCCCAAAAAAGAGCAAAGTCCTCCATTCAAACAGAATTAACTTATGCACTGTCGCTATACAATTCAGTCAAAAAGTCTTGATATATATTTTCCCAACCAGAAAACATGTGAAAATTACTTTGACTCCTTTCCCATAACATTATGCATATTTGAAAGGAAATGCAGTTATCTTTCATGTCATATTGATTATTTTTGGCTCTCACTGACTCTAACAAGGTAGACCAATGTGGGATTTTACACCTTGCTAGAAACAGCTTCAGCAAAACATGTTATTATTAGCTTCATCTGCAATTATAATTTCAACACCACATTTTGCCAGAATAGAAAGAGAGGCCAAGAAAAACAGAAACCATAAATGAGAAACAGCTTGGTCATGGATTAAGGTGCCAGCATTTTATTCAGTTTATTGGGTTCAGGTTGTGTCTCTGCTCTGTGAATAATTTAATTTTACTTAAATACCCTTTATAAATCAACTGTTTAAAAAAAATTTAATTTTGGGAAATTCCTTTTTTAGCCACTAATTAACAGATTTTGAGTACTCATTACTATGTAAAATATTGTTTATATTTTTCTCATTTTTATTCTAATCCCCTCTGTAAATATGTAATTACTATTGGTATCCCCCAATTATAACATTGAGAAAATTCCTTAATGCTTTTGTGCCTAGTGACCCTTAGTCAGTTGGTAATGAATTGTCAGTCTGTATGAAATCCCTATTAAACACTTTGTACACAACAACACAGGATCTGTAGTCCACAACAAGAATTTTTCCTTCAGGTTAATTCAGTATTTGGAATTGGTGGGACAAGCTCTAGTAATTGTTATTATTTATGATATATATTAACACAATTAAATTCTCTATTTTTTTTGCCTTGCAAGTAAAAAAGGGAGATATATAACACAGTTAAAATATGTGAATTTGATCACAGTAAGGTAATAAGGGATATTCCTCAAAGAATAATTTATATTAGATTTCTTTCCCCTCCAATGAGTGAGTAACCACTCACTCATCTACCTGACGGGTAGCTCTATTATGAGAGAAACAATACTTACAATATGCTTAGCATAAATAAATGGTAACAGTAACAGCTTTAGCAGATTTTCTTATCAATGCAGTTGTGTTATTCGAACATTTTTGAACATGTATTTTATTTAACTTGTTAACTAATCAAAAACAGTAAATTATCAGAACTGGTTCCTGTTCCAACTATTTTTAATTGGAAGACTGGCCATCTTTGAAAGAGTTTCACCATCTTCCCATTTCTACCACTGGATTTAAAGCCTTGGCTGATTCTTAACCTATTTTTTATTCTTTTCCTTTTTTTTTTTTTTTTTTTTTTTTTTTGCAAGGGCCTAGGAGGGGGAACTCTGTTCCCATAATCCATATGATTCTTACTAAATCATAAAATTCTTCTCTACTTAATTTTGAGTGTTTCATCCCTGAGAAATTTGACTACTGTATCTCAAATACAGGCTTTTTATAGTTCAATTGCCACACAGAAGAACAGGATATTATTCTTCAGTGGACTCTATAATTTAGACTCCCACTAGCCATCTCACTCAAGGAACAGCCAGTCACCTGTATAAGTGACACAGGGAAGGCAAACCCCAAAATTGGGGCTTTGCCTGGGAAGGTTCTTGGCTTCACCCAGGAAATAATTCAATGGCAAGCTGGTGGTGTCACTTTTATTGAAGCGGCCGTGTACAGTAGCAGCAACAGAGGTACTGTTCTTGCAGAAGAGGCCTACCTAATTGGCAATGTGCCCAAAGTAGCAGCTGAAAGGCAGTTCTGCTGTCATATTTTTACCCACTTTTAGTTGCATGCTAACTAAGGGACAGATTATGCAGAAATTTCTAGGAAAAGGGTGGTAACTTCTGGGTTGCCTGGTTGTTGCCATGGAAAGGGGCAGTTACTTCCAGGTGTTGCCATGGCAAAGATAAACTGACATGGCACACTAATGGGCATGACTTATGGAAAGCTGCTTCCACTCTATCCTTGTTTTAGCTAGTCCTCAATTTGGTCTGGTGTTTGGGCCCTGACTTCAGAGATGTGTCCCATCTTTACCTCCTAAGGTTTTTTAGGTCCAGTCTTAATAAGTTCTGCTTCTCTGTTTCCACACCAGTGTTTTATTGAGATTCTGGTATACTCATGATAGACTCATGAGTACAATGATAAAGAAGGAACAGCAGGCAAGCTGACTGTTCTGAGTTACTTGTTCTTCTGGGGTTTTATTCAGGAGTTATATACATACAGTTTGTTAATAAGCCACAATCTAAATGCCTTCCCATGCTTATAATAAAAGAAAGATACATACAAGCTTATACATGAACATAAATCTTTGTCATCTTTATCCAACCAACCCACAGAAATTGAACAGAACTCCTGATTTAGGTTAACTAAAAACTGGGCAGTGTAAATTTCTTCTCATATTTCAGAATTAAATCAATTTAATTGTAAATAAAAGAAATAAAGCTCCAGAGCAAAATTAGGTGGTCACTGTATTACCAGCAACAAAAAAAAAAAAAAAAAAAAAGAAAATGAAAGTACAGTGGAAGCAAGTGGGACACAGATCTTCCTTGTTAACGTATTTGTCTACTGACACCTCCCTTGTTGTGTCTATTAAGATGGATCCAGGGACAACTGGATAGCCATGAAAAGTGTTCTTAAGTTCCTCAAAAGCGTCACCAGATTTTCCATCTCAGAGTCTTTGCATGAAATGTTCCTTCCCCAACTCTTCACCTAGCAAAATTATACTTTGGATCTCTGCCTAAATGTGATCTCTTCAGAGGCCTTGTCTAATGCCCATTCTAGATTCCCTCATCAAATCTAGTTTTGCTTTCTTTTGGTTTCATAATGTTTATCAGTTTTTATCTCTGCATAAATTTGGGTGTCTTTCCTTTAGTGTTTATCCCAGTGAACTGAACTTGCTTAACAGTGAGAAAACACCGTAGCTCACTTGAGAGCAAATCTATACAGGTAGGTCAGACTTCAAGGCTGTTTGATTCAGTGATAAATTGGATTGTACAATGGCTGCCAGTAACTTTATATCTCCTTGCTCATATTTAGCTGCAGGGAGATACCTGGGTTCAGTGACTTAAGGCCTGAGCAAAACATTCGTAAAAGCAAAACTAATCTCACGTTTCACTGGACAGCACTGGATCACAGGCTTTTACTTGAGCTGATCACTGACCAGGCAAATGCAGTTTCCAAGGTTCTGACCCATCCTGGAAGCTGAGTTTGTGAAGATTTCTCTGAGGCATAGATGGTGTGAGAGAGAGATAGACACATAAACCAAGTTAGCATTCTGTTACAAAGAATAAGGAGGAAATCAATGCTGGGTAAACAATTGCAATAACACCATATTACTATGTACACAGAACTTGTTTATCTTGTTTGAACTGTGTAATGTTATCTTCAGCTTTGTTTTTAATGTTTTTAAATTCCGTGATTCTATTATTTACTGTTCAAGTTAAATTAACAAATGTCATTTCTACTACTTTGCAGGACGAGAATTTAGATGAATTTAGATGCACATTTATATGTAGCCGGAAGCATATTTTCCATCAAAATTGACTACAAAACTCATTTTCTAAATCTATGTCCTTCCTAGGAAGGTTAAACATAAATAATGCCTGATGCTATCCATCTTTGACAGGTCAGGCCACTATAACAAAAATACCATATTCTTGCTGGATTAAACAAGAGACATTTATTTCTCACAGATATGGAAGCAGGGAAGTCCCAGGTCTAGGCTCCAGAAGAGTCTATGTCTAGTGAGGGCCTCCTTCCTGGCTTGTAGACAGCATCCTTTTCAGTGTATACTCACATGGCCAAGACAGAAATAATTTCTCTCATATTTCTTTGTGTAAGGATACTAATCCTATTCATGAAGGTGCCGCTCTCATGACCGAATCACCTCCCACAGGCTCCACCTCTTAATACTGTCACAATGGGGATTAGGCCACAACACGTGAACCTGAGGAGGGGGAAGATACAAACAAGCAGTCTATGGCACCATCTATTAAGAAAGCTACTTTAATTCTTCACTCTGAAAATTTTCAGTTTACCAAGTAGTTAGGAACATTGTAAATAAATTCTAAAAGATCAAATTGGAAAGCATAATGCCAAATCATGTAATATCTCACTTAAAACACCCTTAATTCTACATAGGATTTATGTAGTCACATTGTGCCTAAGACAGTTAACTACAGAGCAGTAAGAACATGTGGATTTGAGGTAGAGAGGTGCAAGATAAAAGAAAACTTTTGGCTGTACCTCTCCAGGTGCGTTGCAAGGTCATAGAAGCACAAGAGTCAAACTGCATGTGAGGATCCATTCACAAGAGTCAATACAGCACTGCAGAGAGATCTGCAGGAGGTTGGCTTGTAACAAAACATTTAAAGCTCAAAGCATGCTCTCAAGGTCAGCGCAATTCCAGGAGCCTGAGCTGTCTTTGTAGCTCAGATTGTAGTGAGAGAGGAGAAGCTATCCTAGAGTGATAATTAAAACTAAATTGAAATAGTTTGTGAGTTCTTCTTTAAAAGAACTTTATTAAAACCTCTGTTACTAATGTAGAATACATTTGTATTTGAAGAAGTTAGTAGAGATGGGTCAAAGTTTCTATTCTACATGTATTTTACATCAGCAAGTTCAATGAAAGACAGCTAATCAAGTTTGTAAGCAGACATACACACATGCATGCAAAGATACACATGCATAGATACACACACACATATATACACACACAGACACATACTTGAACTTAGACTTATTGCAGGAAAAATGGAAAATAATTTATAATCAGCATATCAGTTCTTATTTCTAGAAATAAGCATTAAATCATAGCCTAATGTAATCCAGAGTCATTTTAGTTGTTACCATTTCTGTTGTGTGTCTACTCTACACCTGGCATTTACATTATCCAAAGGCTTCCACACTAAGATTGTGCAGTTTCTGCACTGTCCACAAGTGACTAGCCACAAAGGTAGGGAAACCTACACACTCTAGCTAGGGTTATGCTCTTTACAGCAGAATGCATCTACCCCAAAGTGGTACCTTTCTCTAATTCATCCACCAAAAGAGGATGCTTTTTTCTAATCTAAACAAAATTGCAGCATGTGCTAACAGTTGTGTTGGCATTATCTATTATTCTTGGCAACAAATCCTACAATGTAGATGTTATGAATTCCATGTAATCTGAAGCCTTCTGACATGGATTATTCTTTAAGTCATCAAGTAAGACAATAGGAGCCTATCCCATCTTCCTAACTGAGAAAACTCAAGAGGCTTCAACATATATTTAGATTCCAGTATTCAGCTGATGTGATAGTCTCTAGTTGGAATTTTGTGTATTTCTTTAGCTGTCTCTCTACCAGTCCTGTGACTACTGTCATCTTACAACATCATGTTGCTCCGTAGGAAATCATGACTTCTTTATGTGAGTTACCTAGGGCAGTAAATCACACACAAGCTATTAGTAACAAACTCATCAAGGTCTCTGGATAAGAAAGAGAAATTACAACACAAATCAGCAACTATTTAAAATCAAATATCACATATCAGTTATTATTTTTATTACTTCCATAGGGAGTTTATAGCTGGCTGTGAGGTTCTTCAGCCCTAGTCTGACACCAAAATTCCAGGACTCCATTTCTTTTAGCCAAATCTCTTTCTGAGCCTCCCCATAACAACTTTACTGGGAACTAACATATTGCTCACAATCTCTTAGTTCTTTATTATACAGAATTAAATTCTTTGTTTCTCCACTTTTTTCCCTAAGACTACAAAGAGCTAATCTTTCATAATCCCTTTATTTTAGATTAAATTCTTAATCATCCATGAAATGTAGATGTGGCTTCAATTGTTATTTCTTCTCTAGAAAGCAATCTTTTCTGATTCGTTGTTTCTACAAATGGGAAAACAGACTTGTGCAACTTACATAAGATTACTTAGACTCCAAAGCCTACTCTCTTTTCATTAAACACCAATTTGAAAATAATTTAACATATAAGAAGAAGAAATTCTGGACCTGAACAGAATCTTTATGCTAATATCCAGGGGGAAATTATCATATGAACTCCATACATTTATCATAATAAATATCATTGAGCACCAACAGCGTAAAAGGGGCAGATCCCTACAATACTGAATTTATGTTATACTAAAAGATACAACCATTGAACAAACATACACACAAATAAATATGTGTATTGTAATTAGTACTAATTATTATGAAGGGAAAGAATGGGATGCTATGAGCTAGTAAAAGAGAAGACATTTTAAAGTGCAGCTAATCCTTTCTATGCTTTTTGAAACAAGGTAAAATTCTTTCCTAAATATTCTGAATACCCTGTATAATTTTTTAAATCTCAGAAACTATATGAGCCCAATAGACATACTTAACTGCTACAATAATTTCCTAATTAAGTTGTTCCTCTTTTCTGAATCTGTCTCAAAACAAAATGCAGCGTTTAGGAACAAGCAAACAAACCCACAAGTAACAACTCTGTAGAAATCATCTACTTTCTCTCATCTCTACTCACCAAGCTGGACACCACAAGAACAAATCACATAACAGTGTATCAATTTGAGATCATGTTTAGTGCATAACTGCATGTACTTGAAAGCAGTTTTCCTATGAAGTTAATATGTTTCCTTGATTAAACCCTTCTCTCACCATTGAATCTGTAACACTTAACACTTGGTTGAAGCCCAGGCCTTCTCCTCCATAAAGGAAGACTGGAATTATCAGATGGGAAATCCTACTCTTTCTACCTTTAAACCTCATTGTTTCTGCACCCAATTTCTCCTGCATTTTTAGCTGTTACAAAACACACATTTTCCGACATAAAGCCAAGTACTCATTGCTCTGAATCTCATCCCCTTCAGCCTCCTCAGAAAACATATCCTATTTATTGTCCTCACTCTCTTTTGCTATCTTTATCTCATGCTTCCTATTAGAAAAAATAAACAAACAGAACAAAGATCCTACCTTCAATCTACATTTCCCAACAGTTGCTTTTTCTCACTGTACACCTTCTCAGACAAACTTGTCATAAGGTAAGTCGCTAACTTCACTTCCTGACCCACCATTCCCTCCAACTCTGCCCAACTGAGTTTCTACTTCTCTATTATGCAGCTTGTTACAGAAGGAAAGTTTGTGTCTCCCCAAAATTCCTACATGGAAGCTCTAATCCCCAGTGTGGCTATGTTTTGAGACAGTGTTCCTGAAGAAGTAATTAAGGTAAATAAAGTCATAAGAGCAGAACCCTAATATAATAAGTTTCATGTTATTAGAAGAGACACAGGAGGGCTCCCTCTCTTACTCTGAACCCACAAACATGGAAGAAATGCCATGTAAAGACACAATAAAAAGGTGGCTATCTGCCTGCTCAGAATAAGGCCATGCCAGAAATTGAACCTGCTGGCATCTTGATCTGAGATTTCAATGGCCAAAATTATGAGAATATTAATTTCTGTTGTTTAAGCCACATAGCCTGTGGTATTTTTATTATCGCAGTCAGAGCAGACTAGTGCACAGTTCTTGAAGATGTCACTGAAACCACGATATTGCTAAATTTAATGGACATGGTCCAATTCTCATAATAAACTGTTTAATTAACATTAACTGAACAAATACTTGTGAGTACCTACCAGTGTGCTAGGCGCTAAGAAACCAGAAGTAAACAGAAGCAGCAAGTGCCTGTTCTCATGGAGCTTACCTTCTAGTAGGTGGGAGACTGACAATAAACATCAATCAAATGGACAAAAATAATGTCAGATAGGGATAAGTGTGTGGTGATGATACCGGTGTTAGTGAGTTTCCTCCCTTAGAACATTCTCTTTCTAGCTGTACTTCTGCATCTCTGAACATGTTTTTCTTAGGCCATGTGCCAGCCTATGTTCCCCTAGACACAATATAGATATTGAAAATTCTCCAATCTTGATCTTGGGCATTATGCATCTTCAAATAAGATATCATATTTATTTACTATATTACAAATAACTCCCAATGTTATATCTTCAGCTGATACTCTTCCTTGGAGATATATGTATATCTTCCCTTGAATGTCTTAAATACATCTCAATCTGGTTTTCTTTCCCCCAAGAAAACCCTAAAGCGTCCTAGAAAAAATATCTCAGCCACTGTGATCAATTAATTAACAGTTTAAATACTAAATATCTTTCAAAACATCTTTTCTCTTCAACCTTGTTTTCTGACTAACACTGCTAAAAATTCTCCTAGTCAGTTTCTGCCTCCTTACTTATAACCCCACTTAAGTGTGTGCCAGGGCTTTCCTTCAAATGAAAATATGATTATGGAGTTATCCTATAAGTGATATATTTCCACTGGTTTAAATATAATGAGTAAAACCATGAGAATATTCTAAGGCTTGATAAAAGCCGTTAGAATCTTCTAAAATATGCTCTCAGTTTTTGACCTCCTCACTCCCTAAGCACCACACATGTCTTTCATTTTCTCAAATGCACATACTCTGCCACCTCCAAGCTTTTCAGCAGGCTTTTTCTTCTGCTTAAGAAAAGATTTTTCCAACCTCCTTATATAATAAGCTATCGACTAAACTAAATTTTCAACTCACATTTGCTTCTCTAAGAAAGTCTTCTCTATCCCAATGTAGTAATTATAGACTAAAACCATTATACTCATTAAACTCACATGTTGAAAATGAAAAACAGAATAACAAATCAAATAAATAGAATATCAGCAATCCAGCCATTTTACTCCAGAACACACATAATAAACAGAAATATGTAATATCAAATACACATGTGGTAGTGTTTATATCAATATATAATATAAAATATCAAAAAACATACAGTAGTGTTGATAGCAATATTATTGGCTCCACACTGGAAAAATACCAAATGCTCATTATAATGGATACATTGTAGTGAATTTATACAATGGAATGTCATGTAACAATGAAATTGAACAACTGCATCAACAGCAATGAATCTCACAGGTATAATATTTAAGACAAAAATAGGAAAACACAAATTTTATGTCTTATTTCACTTATATAGAGTTTAAAGATAAACAAAACCAAGTCTATAGTATTAGAAA